AGACTCTAGGTAATAAATAAATTATCACAAATTGGAGTATTACCTGTATCACGACACTACATTTTGTCTTTTTGCTAGGAATTGGCAACTATATTTTCTTAATTAAATGTTTGCAAACTATTACGCCTATATTTAACTGGAATGAGCTATTCGTAAAGATTATTCGATATTCCGTGGTTGAATGGATAGGAGTTGAAAATTGTTGCCTTTGTGAAAAGTATTGTATTGAAATTGAAAGCTAAATTAGTAAAATGGAGAGATCTTATTTATGTTGCATGTAATTAAAAGATTCCATTTTATAGAATAGAAAACGTGGCAGATCTCTTAATATAAACATTTTACGATATATCTGACTGTCTGTCTGTATGAACGAGAATAACTCGTAATTTGTAAGACCTGGAATAATCAAACTTGGGATGCTTGTTTTTCGGATGAGTTTGAAATTCGCCATGTGCTATGTGAATATTTGTATTCAAACTAACAAAATAAACTTAAACAATGAACTTGTGCCGCAACTGCAACATTAGAAATCATAATTGCTGCAGGTTCTCAACATCTTTAATTTTTTGCAGTGCCCGTTCCAGGCGCACCGGAAATGATGCATGAATGGGCAGACGAGGAGGCCGGCATTGAGGCTGTGCAGCGAATTTTGGACTGCCTAGATGATATCTATTCGTTGCAGGATGCGCATGTGGATGCGGATGTGTTGCGCGACATGCTGCGTGATGTGCATTTACATCAATTTCTGCAGCTCTTTGATCGCATTGGCTCAACGACCATTACGGCCACGGGTCGGGCGCCCAGTGCCGAGGCTGTGGCACGAAGTCGTGACGTATTGGAATTGCTCTCGTCTATGGGCGCTGGCAATAAGTATGTAAAGGATGAGCTTCTCCAACTGTTGGCCGCCCCACACATGCAGGTGAGTGAACGCTTCGCTCTACTCTATTATTACTATTTTATTTGAAATGTTTTGTGGCAAGCTGTTGGAGTGTGTGTGTGTGTGTGTGCGCAACTAAAGCCCATTATAGCTAAATATACACCCTGTGTTTGTTGATATCTACATTACGATGCCTGACTGCACTTTGCGTGCATTAGTCTGATAATGCCCTGCCGTCCAGGACAGGTATTTAGTGACAGGGAATGAAACCGCACCGAAATCACAGCAAACACTATAGTTGCGTAAAAGTTGTAAACATTTTTACTATAAACCATGTGGTTAGCAGTAAACTGTTAAAATAACTCTTGAATTGAGCTATAATAAAGAGAACTGCCAGCTATGTTTGTGCGATGGGTAGAGTTATCTGCCGCGGTAAAAACTTTAGTTAATGGAATTGCTAATTGAAATTGCTGCGAAAGCGTTTAATATACACAGCATCCCTACTAATAACCCTACAATTCTCAAATGAATACTATTGCTATATTACTATACTATTAATTAATATAAATATTTTAGCTTACTGATTCACTCAGAAGGGCATTGTAAAAGAAATCTGGTAAAGAAATTGCGTTTATTTCAAACTAGTTTTTATATATCCATTAACTACCAATATTGTTCATCTTTTACCCGCTTTCAGAAATTGTTGTCTTTTAGTAGAAATTAACTTGAAACGGTCCGCAAATTTATTTGTGTGGGAAAACAGACTGAAAAATAAAAAAATGATAACTTAAACTCTGACAATCAGTTAAGCCAACTTCTGTCCAATGTTTCAGTTTGCGCAATAGTAGTAGTACGGTAAAAAGGGCATCTTAGGTTTGTGTAAAGTATGTAAGAAGCAGAAGGAAGCATATCCAACCCCATAAAGAATATATATTCTTAATCAGAGAAATCGATCTAGACATGTCCGTCCGAATCTTTTAAACTTTTTACACGTAAACAATCTTTTGTTTGAAATTTCATCCAAACCGGTAAATTCTAAGAAAATTTGTTAAGGAAACAATTTCCCTCCAGTACTACGCCCAAAAACTGCAGCATCAAGTTCGCTCTACCTCTTCTATGGGCGCATATATGTATTTTATAATATAACTTGTTCGACTGTAGCGTTATCTTTTCTTTTTAGCTAGAAACCTGACAAATTTCCAAAAATATCGAATAACACCTTTAAATCTCTTGGATCGTTCTGGTCAAATAGAACTATATTAAGCTGTCAGATACATAGGTAATAAGGTACTAGGTGCACTAAAATAATAAAATTACATTGTTTCTGGTTGGGGGCCCCTCAAAGTATGCTGCTAATAATTTCAGTTGTATTCGTTTTCCACTCTGGCATAGAAACGTTTCGATAAACGGTTTTTAAGCATTTATGTAAGATAAACTTTAATACTTGGACCACATTTTCTTATTATTAAGCTACTTTGCTACTACCTTTCTTGACAGTTTCATTTAGTTGCACATACCGATAAAGGTTCATAGCAGAAATACAATTGAGAGAGTATTTATACAAATGTACCTAGATACATATCTAAGTATCTTCAGCATGTCGTTTTATGGCTAACTGCCAATAAATAGACTAAGCCCCTGGTGTGAATGTAGAGACGTGTGCATTAAAGCGAAGTACAAATGTTCGAATTCTTTTAGGTAATCCTATTAGCACATATAAACATATCCGGACAGCACACAAATAAATGTTGCACTGCTTGTCTGCTTATGTGTGTTTTCACTGTACACAGTTCTTCACATACTCAAGCGCAGATAGTCACTAATCCTTTGACCAAACACAGACAGACAGCAGGAGGAGGAACAGCAGTTACTGTAGCTACTGTTTGGAAGTTGCTGGCGTTCGTTCGCTGCTAATGCAACCAAAATACAAACAATTTAATCAGAATAAACCGAAATGAAATTCGTACGTTGTTGGCACAGAAGTGCTCGACAGAAACAACAAAAATAAAACAGAAGCTCTAGCGGCAGCGGCAGTGGCAGCCTTCTGTCAGTTCCCCATAGGGTTTTCTCCGTACAAAAGTGTGGTAGATCCGAGCTCAAGTGCCATCGTCACCAACGTTAGTGTTCCATCATCGTCCTGCCATATACATTTGTTACAGTCCAACGGCCGAATGGGCATAAAAACATTTAACGATAGCAAAAATGCTTTTTTTTTGCCGCTCTATCTTGTCTTGCCCATGCTCTGCATATAATATATATATGCGTGTCTGTCTGTGTTGAGTGCAGTAGATATGAACGTTATAACTCTGTGCCATCCACTGTCGTTAATTGCTCCTTGAAGCAGACTACATTTTTTTGTTATATTTTTCCTTTTTTGCGTGGGCAACTGTTTTTAGGAATGTTGTTGTTGCTGATGGTTTTCGGCATGCTGTCAGTTCGTCAGCCAAGCGATGAGTGCGGGAGTGGGTCTGCCTATTAGTGACGCAAACGTACGTTGCTACCATGCCTGCCTTTCTTATTTCCATAAATTCATGGCAAACAAACCGAAAAAAAAATTATTATCGTATATGAGCAGAAATGCACAAAACGATGAAAGAGGCGATGAAAAAATGTGTTAATGCTGTAAGCAGAGCGAACCACCACACTAGTGTAAGAGAGCGGGTTGGTGGGGGGACGTGGGGAGCGCAAAACAATGTAAAGGCCTCGGCCGCAGCTCAGCAAATAAAACAATATCTGTCGTCCATCCAGCTTGCGTTCATTCTCGTACATACCAACGAACATGCATAGAATGAGGAAAGAGAAAGAGGGAGAGTCTGCAAAGTGCAGCGAGCAGCGCAGTTGATGCTTTTGGTCACTGGCGATGTGGTGCAATGCCTGCAAGTATGTGTGCTATATATGTGTGTGTGTGTGTGTGTGTGAGAGAGAGAGAGAGGGAGAAAGAGAGTGTGTGCGTTGCAACGAGATTTAACTTAAATGCAAACGCGCACACGTTTTAGTTTAGTTTGCGGCCTAGCCGCCAGGGGACAAGGCAGCGGCGACTGAGACGCATTTGTTGTTATTGCATTCGTTTATTTGACACTTGGCAAGTCATGTGTAAAAAAGGCGCCTAACGAGCGCCACCCTCACCCACACCCACACCCAAACCGCCACTGGTCCAACTTCGTCCCACAACTCCCACGACTCCCCAAAGGCTTGTCCGAGCAGAGCGCGCGCGCGCGCGTAAAACAATAAACAAAAACAACACGGAAAAATATGCAAAACATAACAACAAAAAAATAGGAAAACAAGTGGGGAAAAAAGTGGGCAACACCCAGACGCGCGTGCTCGAGTTGTTGGCTACTTCCTCAGCGGGCGCGCGTTTTTAGACAATGCCTACTAAGAGTAGTGTTGTGTGTAGTCTAGTGTAGTGTGAGATGACGTGCAGTTTAGGAAACCTTCGTCAAGATTATTTCTCAAGTGGCCGCGTCGTCGACAACTCCGGTATCTTCGAGCCCCGACCTCCTCTCCGAAGGAAACACGCTCGCCTCTGACCCAATTAAGAAACGGCGCGCAGTGGCCTGACGCCGCCAATCTGCTGTATCTACCTCTCGCCCCCTCTCCTGTTGTACTGTGTGGAGTGTAAAGTGTGAAGTGTCGTGTCAGTGTGCCAATTACGCGTGAGTTTCCGAAGTAATACACAGAAGGCAGGACTCACGGATTTGGCGGCAAAGCTCACATGGGAGCAATTGCCAAAGTGGCCGAATGTCGAGCTACCTGTCATGTGGAACCATCCGCTGCCTTTCATAAATTGGCAACATAAAACTGTAATAGCGCGACTGTGTAACTGTGTAACTGTGTCTGTGTCGCTCTCTCTGTGTGTGTGTATGTTGTTAACTCAATTCGCATGCAAATACGAATACGAATGCGAATTCAAATTCAAAACCAAATTCAAATTCAAATGTTGTGCGTTGCATATAAAAGAATGAAGAAAAAGAAGAAATTATAAGCATAAACGTAATAAGCGAAAAAACGCAAATTAGCATACAAGGCTTTTCCCTACTATTCTCTGTTGAATGGAGGACGACGAGGAGGAAGAGGAGGAGGCTTGCTGCTGTTGCGACACAACGTCCATGGTGTCCTCGACCACGGCAACAACAACGACCACTCCACAGTTGAGTGTCTTCCAGTGGATAGGTCTGGAGACTGCCGAACAGTTGCCCGCATATATTACACGCTACTACAACAATTTGCATCAGCAGGTAAATTGGCCAACCCAGTTACTGATCATAACGCTCAGAGAGTAGTTTTAAAGTGGCAAGTCGGTGTTGTCGTCGTTTTACTTATACAGTGAGGCAAAAGCCTGCAATTGTCCGTAAATCCAAATTTTTAAACACAAAGGCAATTCTATTGCTATTTATTATTTCTTACATAGTATTGGAAGAAAATATATCATATATATATATATGTCTTGAGGATTATATTTATTGGTTAATTAAGAACCAATTTGATTTATATTTGGTTAGTTATGTTAATACCTTTTACAAACATATTTCAAACTCTATGGAGTGCGTCTTTAACGCAGCAGTAACACGACTTACTCTCTGTTTGCTGTAAAAATTTAAACAAGATAGGAATGCTGAAGCCGAGCATGTTCAACTCTTAAATACCCTGTACCTCCCATCAAAAAGGAAAAAATTTAAAAAACAACTAATGAATTTAAAAATATTATATTAATTAAATTATTTAATTAAATTAAATACAAAATATTCAGCGTACATCTGAATCGTGTTCGTCTGCGTGTTTATATGCGTGTATGTATGCAGCACAAAGTTGAACCAAAGCAGGAACAACAGCTGCGGGCAGAGCTGCAGGCAGCGCATGGGCAGCGATTTTATTTATGGCTATAACTTGCTTCAGAATTGACCGATCATGATGAAACATAACATACGGACACATAATCACTAACTGTATGTATATGGCAAATTCTTTCTGTATGTTCCTTCTGTATGTTATATACATTCGCAGAAAACTAGTATAGCCTTTCACCCTTTGGGTACAGGCTATAAAAACTAAACATTTAATTGTCAAATCCGAGTCGAAACTGTTAAAAAAATTAAAAAATAAAATGTTCATAGGTATACAGAGACCCTATTTTAATCTAATTTGAAATATAGAAACTGTTTCACTTTATTGAAAACAAACATTAAAATTCTGAACACAATTTCCTTAAGTTTTCCAGTATTATCGTCGTCAACAGCGGAGGGACTACTTGCATGGAGCATATTTGTTACGATGTTCTCGATAGAATATACTCCCCAAAACCCTTTTGCAACATTTCCAGCAAACTCGTTGAATTTTTATTTTATAAATCTAAGGACAACATTTTTGTGCCGTAAAAAAGCAGCTACCAAACACACACTGATTGACATAACCAACCAAATTTGGTACAATTTGATCAGATAGTAGTACAATTTATGACGCGAATGAGTCTTACAAAAATATCAAAAATTTTCACCCGAAAATCCACATTTATTTACGTATATCGACGACTTTGAAAACTAGAATTTTCCCTGTAGTCTGGGTGCGTGATCAACATTTTAAAGCACAGTATTCGAAAAGTATAAGTGAAGTGATTTCCGATTCCAATACGGATATGGGCTATAATTCAATTTGTCAATTTCTTTTCCATGGTGTCTTGTTTATCCACTTGTGGACCCACTGTGGTATCGTTTGGCCTATTTCAGGCTATAACCATCAGCTTTATTACAGGGCTCGTTTTACCTCTGACTTGTTTGTGATTTGCCAAACGTGACTGCCTCTGCGCCAACTACAATATGTACTTACAAACATACTTCCCATTTACATACATTCAATGTGTGTAGAGTTGTGTGTGTGTGTGTGTGTGTGTGCCAACAACTTAAACGTGTCAACAAGCAGGCAGCCTGGGCTTGGGTCTGCTCTGGGCAGCTCAGCAGCTCAGCAGAGCAGGCCAGGCAAGCAAACTGAAACATTAAGGTTACCATTTTGGCCACACAAATGTGTCTAAGTTGTGTGGCAACTGCATGCCCCCATAGTGGCAGCAAACAGATGTCATTGCTTGCGTTGTTGCAACATTGTTGTTCTTGTTTACAAATTGGTTATGTGGCATGTGTCGTTTCAAGAACGCTTCATGCCGCGCCCGCCATCTCACCATCTCGCCATTTCACCATTTCGATGAAATGACAAATTTGTGCCAAATTGCAGCAGCTAAAATGGCGGGCAGGATGTGGAGGGGTGGTGAGTGGCCGAGAGGCTGAAAGGCTGTGCTGTTAGCAGCTCTGTGTTAATAGTTTATTGCTGGTTTGACTTTGGCACAAACAACACATTCACAGCCACATCTCTGTTCTGTGGGGCTATTACATGTGTCGAGGCCTTGACCTACAACCTAGAATCCTTGAGCGACTCTACGAGGCACAATATGCAACGAAATGAATTCGAATTCACTTGAATTCGCACGACAGACACACATGCCATCAAACACTTGGCATCTCGTTTATTGTGCATTAATTAAAAGCTTGTTATGTAGCGCATAAAACTTGCCAAGTACCTGATTTGCATGACAGTTGCGGGCTAGCAAGCCTCTGGCCTTCTCCGTGTACTGCTTGGTGTGCCTGTACGTACATACACACATATATACACATATATATAGAAGCTAGCAATATTGGCTGGAAAATAAGCTGGGCCAACGTTCAATAAATATTTGCTGTGCTTCAACAGATTCATAACTCATAAAATATAGTGGGTTCTGTCGGCTGCCGCGCACACTGCGTTGCTCCACTTACTTCTCGACCCTTTTGGCACACTCATCAACGAAAGTTTTCGTCCAACAAATTAGAAGTTTTGTGTAATTAGTAACCAATTGGCAATCGAGGATTCTGAAAGTTCGTATTTGAAATTAAACTCAATAACTGCAATCGCATTGAAATGGAAATCTAAGAGTTATTCCAATGCGAATCAATGCTTTATTGCCAGCAAAGCCAATTTCAAAACCAATCAATGTACAAATAAACAATTTGTGTTCTCTAAACAGCTCAGTTTTGACTAGGGTAACATCTTAAATGTGTAAACCTACGATCTTTGGAGGCCTACTTCGTTCTACATACTATTCCAAATGTTAAATATTTAACAGCATTAATGAGATATAGTACTTTCCCAAATATATCAAAATCCAGTATGATATTGATGTTATAAAAGAGTTATTTAGGGCATGTCAGTAAAAAAAATGTTTCCAATTGATTGCACCGACGGTTTCAAGAAATGGTTTCAAAAATCAGTATTTTAAATGCGGCGAGAGAAATCTATGCGTATCCAGATGTGTCAAACACAACATACAATTGTTTTGAATAAAAACCAATTTTTACGCTTCATTATAGCTATAGTGTCTTAAAAGGCCATCAATTATTTATTTATTTATTTTGCCAACAAACAATGCTGCAGTTAAAGAATAAAAATGCCTGTAGAAATTACAAAAATATCTAATAAAGAATAGTCAGAGACCTAACAAAAAAGAAAGAAAGATGAAGATAAAAAAAAAAATAAATAATTAAAAAACTGCGATTAAGATAGCGTATAGATAAGTTCCCATATAAGACCTACGATTACACTGAATATCTTTTAGATAAATGCGTTGTGAAGTTTGCGACCAAGTTTATGACTTAATTCACATCCGTTTTGAATACTCGTGTTATTTAAAAGATAGCGGCTTAAGAAATAAACTTGACCTACAAATGCTAGCAAGATGAATGATATGAAAAGAAAGCTTTCGTAATCATTTGAAAGTTGCAACATCCTTGGTGCAGAAACTTCTGCTGTTAAGTGTGCGCAATGTATGTCGCTGGTTGCCTTCTGTTTCTGTTTGCACAACCCCAATGGCAAACAACGGGGTCGGCCAGCTGCGCACCACTAGCCCCCAAAGTCCAACCCTCCAATTGCCGCTTTATAAAGTATTTGCACAAACAGCTTTCACACATACACGTACTCGCACACACAGACGCAGGCACGCACACATTTTAAGCGCCGTTGGAGCATCAGCAGGCAACAGCTTACCACATGTAATTAGGTTGCGGCTTCCACCTTCCACCTTTTTTTTGGCAATGAATCCTTTACAACTGCACCACCGACGACAGCAACCACACCGGACAGAATAGAATGAAACGGCAGGGAACAGAGCTGGCCTAAGACGAACAGGCCAGAGCAAACAGACGCCCGCATGCAGCAGGCAAATATGTGCCACCGCACCATGTGCCTCCTAAGTGTGTGCCAAGTTAGTGTGTGCCAAGTTAAAGTGTGCGTGTGTGTGTGTGTGACTAAGTGTGGACAAGTCACCTACTTTAGTCTCCGATATTTTCTAGTCGACAACGGTTTTGCGTGTACAGTGGCTATTATTCAAGTGAAACCGATTTCTTCATCTCCACTTTAGTCGTAATCATCTAATCGTCTAACCGAATTCAATTCGCCATTGCGATTTAATGAACAAATTATTCAATCTAAGCAATTACTATATTTAAGTTAGTAGAGCCGTGTCCGCGTTTAGAACACTTGCAGAAATAACTCAATCAATCGAGTCAATTTTGTCCAACTTCAAAAAAAGGGGCTTACAACTTGTAAGTATTCTGCAGTGCTGTGAGTTTTTTATTCATCACAAATATATTAACAAGCAATTCAGTATTAGTTTTATCCAACTCTTGTACCTGAAATATTAAAACTACACACAAATATGAGAAAGAACTTTGATGGGTTATTTAAATTCTGTTGCAGAGTAAATAGTATAACTGAAAAGAGCCCGAAGGATTTTAATTAATAATTGCATTGCTAAAATGTTGGGAGGCTCTTTTTCTATAAATACTTTATTATAATTTATTTGCATACCTTCTGTGCCCTCATTAATTATGAAATAAATTATTTAGGCGAAATTTTCCTGCAATTCAGTATTATTTTTGTACCTGAAATATTAAAACTACACAGAAATATGAGAAGGAACTTTGATGGTTTATTTAAATTCTTATAAAAATCATCTCAACTACTATTTAACTGAAAAGTGCACTTTGTTTGATTTATGCCCATGCTCAAATGTGGTTATTATATTGTGCATTCACTGTATCCAAATTTAAAGGGAGGCTCTTTTTCTATAATTACTTTATTATTATTATAATTTATTTGCGTACCTTTTGTGCCCTCATTAATTATGAAATTCTATGCGCTTGCACCAGAAAAGTTGTAAATAAATGATTTAGGCGAAATTTGCCTGCAATATGTACCCGCATGTATATATTCGAGACGTTATTTGCCATATTTTTGATTGAAGCTAAAATTAAATTGCATCTTCAATATCTTTAAAATATACGTAATATTGTCTCTAATATTTCCTTCTGTCTTTTATTTATGTTTTTGGTGTCAAAAGACATTCTTGAACATCCGAAACTAGAGGTGATGGGAAAAACTTACGTTAAGATTCGAAATACCTAGTTAATTCATTATTTGGCAATGTCGCTTATACGCTGACTATTGTCTAAATACCTACAGGAAAGTTAAGCCTCGTTTTAGGACAAATGGCTCGGATTAAAATTAATCTTGACAAATCGAGAGAATCTCTAACGAATTGGTTTCTTAATTCATTTCAATTGCCTTTCAGCCAATGCAAACTACTTTTAGTTTGAAAATTACACCTTTTTTGTAAAAGGGCTTATTTTAAACCTAGAAGTATGGTTTTTAATAATTCTTTACATTTTCCGCTCAACGGGAAATTAAATACATAGCTACCCAATTCAAATAAATTTAAATAGTGTTTCACGCGAAAAAGTTGCTTTTAGTGGACGTTACAAAAAAGGAAAGCAAACATACTGATAATTATTTAATTATTGTACTATATAAGTATGTATATTTTAAAGTTAAATAATAATTCAGAAGTGAAAAATGGGCTAGATATTATTATAGTCTATTAAGCAGAATCTGCAGCTGCTCTATTTACTCAACCGCTTCAATTAAGTTAAGCAACTCCTCTCGACTACACTGCTGGTCGTAGTTGCAACGCTGTTGGTGATGATGATGATAATCAGGATGATGATGGCGATGATGATGACGATGATGCAGGCAATGCTAACAAATAGCAGCGACTGCGGCGGCGGCGGCGGCGGCGGCAGCAGTGGCAGACATTGCGCCATAAATTACGAATATTTTGCACGCTCTCGATGCCAAGAAAAGTCGTTCCATGCCATTGTTGTGTTACTCTGAATATTCCAAGCACTGCTATATAAACAGCGAAGGCAGCAACAACAATAACAGCAACGGCAACGGATGCCAATAGTGAGAAATGCTGTTAAAGAGGAGGTACGAAAGCAACAACAATAATACACAGCCGGGCCAGTTAGTTTTTATTTGCTGGGCTACTCTTAATGCGCATGTGTGGAGCAGCATCCTGCGCTGCCTGCAGATTCAGCATAAGCTAGCAGCGGCAGCAGAGGCAGAGACAGCGACGTCGTTGAGCCAAAAAGTCACCCACAGACTAAAGTGCTGGGGACACAGAGAACACATATAGTCATCTCTTTCGCACGCATGCAACTCAAAGCATCTGCACCGGAAATTGATTGCTCCGCTGACTCCGTTTTGGTTGCTGCGCTGCCGCTGCCGCTGTTGCTGTCGCTGCTGCGTCGACGACGCAAGGTGAAAAGCAAATTTGTTTCTGCTGCCGCTGCATTCAGCCAAGTTAGAGAGTTGAGGCGCAACGCTTTGATGATAACTGTGAAATTTTAGTCTATAATTGTGCACCTTGCGAGCTGGAACTGTGGCAGTATAACGCGAGCCCTTGCCTGGAAAGGACGGGTGATACACACACAACATTCACAACAGCAGCGACGACGGTGCAGCTCAGCTCAGCTCAGTACAGAACAGAACAGACAACACACACTCTACTTCAATACACATTATACTTCACTCGACTAGGACGAGGACGAAGACGGCTGCTACACAACCAACACACTAATACATATAACACACACCCACACCTACACACACGCACGAACACACAGACACACACTGCTCACCTAAAGTTACTCGTACACACACACACACACTTATATATGTTGTATGTAGAGCATATATAAGGCAAGTGAAGAAATGCTGCCATACGGCATAAAAGTGTAAACTTCCCCCATCAAAAAAAAAAAACAAAAAAAAAAAACAACAAAAAATGGATGTGGCAAAAACTTTTTAATTTAACAAACAAGCCAAAAAAGCACCCAACAAAAACAGCGTGCGTGCGAGCGAAAAAAAAACAAGTGCAAAACTTTTTGACAGCCAAATTAAAATGTTGTTCGTTCACTGAAGCGTACACACAATAGGATGAGGAGAAAAATACTTGTATAAAAGAAGAAATCTGTGTCGCGCACTTGCGCGTAAAAGTATGCTATGAAATTGTCTTGGAACAATAATGGCGATTATGCATACATATCCATATAGCAATCGGCTGCGCTGAGGAATAAATGCAAAATTTCAAATTGATTTTCATATGCGAGGAATTTGCTGTACTGCACACAGATAGACACGCACACACAGTCACACACACACACACACACATACGCATATATCATTGAGCGTTGTGCGTGGCCGTTTGGCGACTTTTTCACGCCATTGAATTTGCTCGCTGCTGATTTTTTGCATATTGTGCGAACAAGCAGCAGAAGCAGCAGCAGCAGTAGGAGCAGCGGCACCAGTAGAGACGACGTTCGTTTGGTTGCTCGGTCAGTCAGCCAGACTATATATTTTTGTGTATGTGGGAGTTGTTCGGCTAACGGACCAGGCGACGACACGATGCTGACACGAGTGCGTCGCTGTTCGTTTCCATTGCGAAGCAACAACCGCCGTCGTCTGCTAAAGCTTCTGCGTCAACGTTAACGTCAACGTCGACGTTCGCATCGTCAGCTTTAGCTTTAGCTTCAGGGCAGGCGGGCTTGCCACATTTCAAAATCGATTTGCCAAATTATTATCAATGATATCGAAAATGCGTAACAAATGCGCGCACACAATTGAATTAAATTAATCAGATTGTTGTTGTTGTTGCTCTTGTGCGCCTTTTGTGTGCGCACGTGCCCAAGTGTGTGTGTGTGTGTCTATTTGTGTCGAACAGATTGCAAATGAAATCAATGTTATAACTACTAACAGCCCATATAACGACGCCAGTGACTAAGCAAGCAAGCATGCATAAATGCTTGTGTGTGTGTGGAGCGGCACAAGCTATCAAAGGATAAATGACCAAACAAGTCTGCTGAAATATTCAACGTCGTCAACGTCATCAGCAGCAGCAGCATCAGTAGCAGCAGTATCAGCAGCCGAAGTTGCACTTGTTTTTCTGTGTAATTTCCATTATTGATTTTGGCTTCCCAACTGAAAACACAAGCCAAAGAAGAAGTACAGCAAGCAGTTACGACAGCGACTGGCAACAGCAGCAACTACAACAACAACTACAACAACAACAATTACGCTGCAGTAAGTATTAATGTAGCAGCAACAAACACAACTCAACTGAACACACACCCCGACTTCCTCACAGCCTCACCGACCGCACTACACTGCGCAACAAACAGCAGACTATGTTACACCTGCCCCCATAGAATCCCCAGCAAAGAATTTCACCTCCCCTACACCATCACCCCCGCCCCATACTAACCAATAACGCACACCCCTTAGCTTTAGCGACTCCCGCCGACAGTTCCTTTGCCATTTCCGTCGCCGTTTGCCTTATCAAAAAAAATATATATATTTATACATATATTTTTGTATGTCTGTATTTATGTATGTATACAGCCACAGAGTTGCACAGAGCAGCAGGCACGCACACACTCACTCACTCACACACTAACACACAAACACACACATTTAGAGTAACGCACGGGAGCAATACGCCAAAAATGTTTGGTTTCATTTACTTTGCTGGGCCAGCAGCACCCTCACCTCCCACTTGCCCTGGCGTCTAACTTCCTGCACAGCTCCAACTGCAACACCCACACAAAAAGCTCAGGCGGAGTCAGAGCAGCCAGATGCTCACCTCATTTTTGCAATTCTTTCGCCACGGTACACTCCACAGTGGTTCCGAATTGAATATTTTGTTGCTTAATCTACCCCAATCAATTCAATTAAAAAGTACAATTAAATTCATTAGAGATCCTCTAGATTTCGCAATCGTTTGCTTCTAAGCTATAAATGTGTTAGTTCTTAGAAATCGGATATCATTGTTCATAAACATATGTATCCACATTAGGGATTTTTAAACATTTGCATGTAGCATTTTTTAATGTAAACATACTCAGTATATTCATATATTATTGACTGCGCAGAGATGAAAAAACAAACAACAAAGGTCGTGCCTCTTTCTGAACCATGTTTTGGTGTTTAGTGTTTCTATTAAAGTGCTCTTTTGGAAAAAGTAATGTTTAGATGTGTTCCCTAAGGACTTTAGTCCATTGTTTTAGACCATAGAATTAAATGACCAAAACAACTTGTGGTGTTGGCAATATTTAAAGCTTACAATACATATTAGGATGAATATTCCTGTAAAAAGAGAATTAACAATTGAGGAGATTGACCATAACTTAGGTTTAACCTGTACAAGTGAGGGGAATTTTCATCCGCCACATTTAGACTAGACAATATTAATGATTAGGTAGAGGGAATGTTACTGTAGTACTTAGAAACGAAAATTTGTAACCACTGTGTTTTGGCCGCAGATACATTTGCTTCGCTTTTGACTTACTTGGTTGGGGTATTCTTTGTTTTTTTTTTGTTGATTCTCGTTGCGCTTGTGGTTCCCTTTCTTTATTTTTCTTTTTCTTCCATGTTTTCCACAGTTCGAGATTCTGAGTTCGCTGTTTCAGTGTGTTTTGTGTGCCTTTTGTTGGTTTTTGAATCTTTTATGAATTGAATTCTGTTATTTTGCGCGTATGTTCTGCAACAAAGTTGGTTTGGCTTTTTTTTTTTTGTTCTAAACTTCTTCTGTACGACGAGTTTATGGGCTCCTTAGGCGCCTGAGATACTTATAAATGTAGGTGTATGTGTGTTGGGTCCCCGCTATCTGGAGAAAGCAAAAGCTCGGCACGTTCTCATTCAATTTTGGCTACATTAGCATTCTGAAATGTTGAAAGGCAAACGGAAACTGCAGGAGCAAACATTTGCGCTTGGTCCTTGTCGTCCTTGCTCGTTGTCGTTGTCGTCGTTGTCGGTGCCGTTGCCGTCATCGCCGTCACTTTTTATTATGTATTTAAGCATTCACAATTCCCTTTTAATTTAATTCGATGCTTCACATTGCCATTGCGTCTCATCTCAAATATCAAATTTTGTTTGGTCGCTACTTTGTTGGCCTTGTGTGTAAAGTTTTATGCAAACTATTTAGCATAAATAATCTCACGTTGTGGTTATGATGGCCCCCGTGGGGAATCGAATGCTCGACAGGCTCTCTATTAGCGTAGGCTCTTCTATTTAAAAATGTTGCGCGTTGTTTTTCCCAAATGGTTTTCCTACCCTACACCAAAATATACATCGTAAACAGGCAGACAGCCAGCCAGTTAGATAGAGAGAGAGAGACAGAAAAAAGGCGGCTTTGATAGAAAAGTTCTAGCACAAATGTTTTGCATTCCCCCGAGCATTTTTATCTGTTATTTCTTGTTTTTCCAAAGTAGCAGTCATAAAAAAAAGTTGTTTTTTTTCGAGTACGTCTGGGCAGCTTATTAACTTAAATGAAATGGCATTGAGTTTGAGAGTTTATGAATGCTAATGAGCGTGCTAGAGCGTAGTAAGTAGTTATATATTTTTTATGTGCATTTATGAATTCAAAAAAGATATCTTATAGATTTAGCCTAAAATATACTATAAGTATAGTATTTTAAAACAGTTTTGTTTGCTAGTTCAAAATTCCAGAAAATAAAACATATGTTCGTCTTATTCGTTGCATTTCTAATTCAATCAATCTTTTTCCGAGATAAATATGTTGAAAAAAGTTGTATTAAAATATGAACTTTAAAATGTCGATATACGTGTACCAAAAAAAATGAACGCAGCAACAAATTTGCTGAGCAGTAAAAGCCAATCAATGCTAGAAATATTAGAAAAACTCACATCCTTACATACGACTTCTTCATTATTTATTTATTTGGTACATTCCTGCAAGCCAGATTCCCTTGGCCTTCGCTTAGCTCTGTAGCCAGCCTTATCATTATTATTTAGCACACGTTTCCAAGCAACACTTACTCATTACCCCCACCCCCAATGCCCCTCCCAAAGCCACCCCACAACCTCAATAGATTTCGTTTAATTTTGGGCTTTTCAACAATTTTCTTTTGCAGAACTCGCATGCTAAAATCTTAAAAAAAAAAGAAACAAAAACAAAACCGATTACCCAAAATTAAACTAAATTCATGAATAAATAGTGAGCGTAAACAAAAACTGTAAAAAGTAAATAAAAATAGCTTAAAAGTAATTGAAATTACATGCATACTTACAATACATTGTGATGAAAAAAATGTAATACATAAATTAATTCAATTGCACATACGAGTATAAAAGAGATATAAAATAAAATCGAATCGAATATAAAGGAAACCGGTGAGCAGCATACTTCGAATTTGGAAAGCGCACAAATAAATATAGTAAATAATTCCTAGAAATACTCGAACGGAAGGAAATTTCAAAGTATATACAAATACAGAAAAGCAACAACCACACAGTAGTATAAATCAATAAAAGGAAACAATAATTTTAAATGCAACACCAAGCAAGCCACTGAGGTGGCAATATACAATACAACATACCTAAATATTATATACCTATATGCATATATATATATATATATATATATATATATATATATATACATACATATATACATATATTGATGTACAGTGATAGCAACAGAATTTACATGAAAAACGCGCAGCTAACAGATCCCAAAGGAGGGCGGACAGGATAAAGCAGCGATGCGAAGCGAAAGACCAGGCTGCACAGAAGTTTCAATTGTTGTAATTTTAAGATTTAAAACAATACATAGTTGTTGTTAGTATTTATTGTTGTTAGTCATATAAAAGAATTGAGCAAAGGAAGAGGACGAAGCGAAGCCACACCACTACTACAATACTACAAGAAATCTGGCAACGCTGTGATTGAGCTTTAAATACGCACAGAAAGCGGCAGCAAGTTAAAGTAATAAACAGAGAAAGAAAGAGAGCGAAAGAGAGAGGGAGGGAGGGATTGATTGCAGAAAGCGAGTAATTATATAAACGTGCCAAACCTTCGCCCCTCAATCCACCAGCGATGCCAGCGAGACGTCAAAAGGACGTGCGGCAGCTGCGTGGCGGCTGCTAAGCTCAGACTAAGCAACGGATCAACATATCAAGGAAGACGAGGACGAAGACGCAGAAGAGGAGCCAGCAGAGTGAGGGCAGCAGCAGCAGCAGCAGCAGCAGGAGCGACGCCAGCAGGGACATCGGCGTCATCAAGAGCCTGAAGCCCGCTGTCGAGCAATTTACAACATTTATTCGCGTCAATCTTCGCCACCGCCACCGCACCGCCTGCAATGCTCTGGTAGCCAAGACAGTTTTACCGTGGATCATTACTGCGTGGGCGGCGGAGGCGGCGACACACACGCAGCGGCGGCAGCAGCTGGTGCAGGCGTACAGGGTGCAGGGGGCGGTGGTGCTCACTGTAGTGGTGCAGGCGGTGCAGGTCAATGGTCATCAGCGGGAACGCTGTGCGGTATCGGTGGCGGTTGTGGCGTAACGCCCTCCGGCCTCAGTCTAGGCATGTGCCAGCATCATGGGCTGACATCACAGTCGTTGATGTCCGGTGGCTCGCACATCTCGCTAGTGGGCGGCGGCGGTGGTGGCAGCAGTGGCAGCAGCGGCATGAGCGGCAGCGGTGCCGGCAGCAGCGGTGTGGGCATTGTGCATGGTCCATCCTCCGGCAATCCTGTTGACACAATGTTGGCCGGCGGCGGACATTGTCGCAGCATGAGCGGTTTGAGTTCAATAAGCATGGGTGGTGCATCACCTGCACCGCCGCCATGCCCGCCACCGCCGGCGCTCTTCAATCCGTGTAGCTCGGCCATGTCGCTGCAGCAGGCAGCGGCTGTTTCCCGTTGGGGGCCCCGCACCTCGTGCCCCGTTCACAGTCCGTTTCGTGTGCGTGTGCCCAACGGCTCCATATGCTCGGGACATCAGGTAAGCGCCAGGGTGTTACAATCACAGGGTGACCAAAAAATTAGCAAATTAAATTTTTTTTTTTCGAAACTCAAAACAAACCATTAAAGACACGTACTCTATATTCTTAAACCTTTTGTATTTTATGTTCTGTTTAAGATACAAGTAGGTTAATGCAATACCTAAAGTGGGTTTTAAGTTCCTCTTGTATATCTTAGTGGTACAATTATTGCTTTTAAGTTATATAGATTGGTTTCGGCATCGAAAAAGATTCTTTTAAAAGTTTACAATAATAAACAAACTCAGTTGAAGTTTAATTTGGAGCCAATACCATTTCGATTAAATCGGCGATCTCATTTAAACATTAATTAAAACTTCACTAAACATTTGCAAAATAATTGAAATATTCTAGGAAAATAAGCTAAATACGGTCACCCTGTACGTAACTCATTTGTCTATGTGTGTGTGTGTGTGTGTGTTGTACCTAAAATCCGACAACTAAACTAATTACATTGCCTAAAAAAGATTGAATGCAGAAACAGTAATGCACTATTATTTGCAGAATTCGCAGCTTGCCACAAAATATTTGCGCCTTTGAGTTTCATTTCAATTTACTTTGCCTGACATGCCATAGAGATAACTGTATATAGTATATGTAGATTTATTTATATACATATATACGTATATTGTGTATTGCTGTGGCCACTTGACTTAAATGTGTACCTTTCGCTTTTCTCTCTCTTTCTCTCTCTATTTCCTTGCTGCCTCAATTTGACTCCAATATTCGGTTTTGATGCGGATACGGATGCTGAACAGGTAAGCAAACGAGGCATACGAATAGTTGCCCACATTCGGCAGAGAAATGTGCCAACGACATGTAAGATTATTTAATTTGGTTTTGCCAACGCACACACAAACACGCTCGTACACAGACACACACACAACCACACACACCCGTACAAATTAAGGCACACACAGGAACATAGTTTTGCAAATTATAAATAGCTCAATTCACATGATTGCTCACAAGCTTAGAGGCAAGCAAGCATCTGCCCGCCTGCCTGCCGACTCCGAAAAAGCCTTCGAATTCTATCTGCACGGAAGCCATATTTGTGCGACTGCTAGTATTTTTGCTAAATCGGCTCACATACTATAGCATGCTATTTTAGCAATATAGTTGAACAAAATGAGCTTCCATGGCTTATGTGGAACTGTCGCTCGCAGTGCATTTGTGTGTGAGTGAGAATGTTTTGTAGCTACAAACAAATCGCCTCTCAGCGACGCTGATGAACTTGAACTGAATAGTGCTACATAAGTACTACTTATATAGCATTTACTTTGTGAGATATTTAATTTGCGTGAACAGGGGATTATATTCTTAAAACGGTACTATAATCACCAAACACATCTTAATGAAATGATTAAAGTTACAAATCTACAAAAGCTAAATTTAACAGAACAGAATTTTAGTTTCGAAATATAAATTTTGATAAGCAATCTAATTTCGATTTTTGAATCAATCCCCACATGGTTCCTCACTGAATCGTTTGAGTCTAAAGCATTTTAAATGCAGTGATTATTAATGTATTGGTGGTTTTAATTATTATATATAATATTATATAACTTTATTATACAATTTTGATTAATTTTGGTGCGGAAAGTAAAATTATGTTTATTATTGGTTTCAGAAAAATAGTCCTATCAATTTTTGGGTTTGCTCAAACTACATAAAATATGTTTTAGCTTAATTTTCATAGGATATACATTTAGCATATATAGGCTGGTTCATGTAGTTGTTTCTTTTTAAAAATTGAAAAAAAAAACCATTATTTTCGGTAAATTATTGGTTTATTTTTTAGCAAAGGGCCAAAAGAGCAATCATTCCCGTTATTATGGCGAGCTTCGCAGCAGCTCGTTCAGCTAATCCAGTTTTCCAAGTTCATGTGCCGGTTGCTCTATTACTATAAGTATATTGAATGCCTTAACGATATTCGCCTTAAGGCCTGAATCGTTAATGTATTGTTCACATAATATCGGTCCTACTTAATACTATCGGTCCTATAAATTTTTTAATGTGAGATTTTTCAGTATTTGTTTAAGCTTCTAATAATCAAGTAATGATTAATTGATTTGACAGTTTTTCTATATGAGGTTATGAGGGTTTTTTTATTTCATTTAATTTTTTTGAGTCAATCATATGTTTATAATCAGATTTTGAAGTATACAACTATATATATTTAACTGTCTTAAGTGGGTTTGGTAATAAAGCATTAAAATAGTGCAAAAGAGTGCTTAACGATTTGGAGTGCAGATTAGTTAGGTTCCTTTGGGATTTATAGACAGTGTTTTAATGCTGTTTTCTGATTATTACAGTAATTCGTTTTCCTGATTATTGCAGTGTTCGGGGCATCTAAGCTACAGTGGATTATTTGAACTAATTCTAAATAAATTTGTTTCAGCTATCAGGAGCAGATTTTGCATACTTATATTAAAAAATATTTAGGTGTTTGGTAACAATATCTTAAAAACCCGAATAAATTAGAATATTAGGTTAAATGCATTTAATCGATTTACAAAAACTAACTAATTAGAGAATAATTGAATTTAATGGAAAAGAAAAATTTTGGGGCTAAAATGTTAATTTACTTTTTGTTCAGCCACCCTGACAAAAGTCACACTGTGCGCGTGCTGGCAGGCAGTTGTAGTTTTTGCTTGACTGCGCCGCCTAAAAGTAGGCAGCAGTAGTTATAACAGCAACAACAACAACTAAAATAGCAGGATAAAAAATGATCCTAAAATGAAACTAAGCCCACGTGGTTTATTGCTTGGCTGCCTGGCGGTGCTGTCAAATGTTTGTGACAATTGCCGTTTAACTCTGCTCGTTTCAAAGGCCTGCTACCTCTCCTCGAGCAGGACGCCCTCTTCCCGAGTTGAGTTCACCGCTGGCGGCAAATTGAATGTCACTAATGCAATTAGTTCTCACAAATAATTCTTCCACTCGATTATAGAGCATAATGCCGCTGTTGCCGTCAACATCATAGTATGGCATTTATTATGAAAAATTGTAACGCACACACAAAAGTGAAAGCGCAAAACATAAAAGGGACACACGGCAGTTGTGTTCGCCAGGATGCTGGCCAGAATGGCGGTCACGTCAAATGCAAAGTAGGCAGCTCAACATCAATGTTGGCGTCAGTGGAGCGCAGCAAACCATTACGCCTTTCAATTTTTGCGCCTGCTTTGTGCTGCCTGCCTGCCTGCTTGCCTGCCAGCATGCCTGCCCGGTTGTCCTGTGTGCTCGTCTGCTACTAAAGGAAGAAAGCAAGCAAAAGAATTATGTGGCGGTGGGCTACCTAGAGGTAAATAGAGTTGAAGGGGCGTCCTTAGCGTTTAAAATTTACATAAATATTATACAACAAGCATGACAAAGCGTTGTCGGGCATTCCTTGATGGGACCACTCTATACACTTCAAAAGAAGGACTTTTCTCGCTTTGAGAATGTTAATATTACGTAAAGGTTTGATTCACTTATCCTTCAATGCCAGATAAACAGATTGCAGATTAAACTTTGTCATTTAACTTGAAAGAAATTTAAAATTTCATACATAAAAAACAATTAAAAATGGCCAATTAAATATGAACTAATGATGAGTGATTGCTGTAACAATTAATTACATTAATACGAATTTCAAAGTTGACAATTATAGTTATTAAAAATTTTGTTTTTTATTTATAATTCGGTGATAAAAAAAAGCTCAATACTATGCTTCTGTATCAACATAATAGACGCAACTAATTCCCAGTTACGGAATACCCTGAAATTGCATTTAAATGTTACTGGAAAGGTATTGAAAGGCACTTTCAGAATGCGTATTCCAATTTAAGTTTTGGGCTTTTTTTTTATGTAAAGTCAATGTTGATATAATTTTATCCCTTTTTTACGCTTTCCAATAATCTTTGAGTGCTCAATTACTGAAACTTAATGTTAAATGATTAATAAATATAATAAAATATAAATAATAAAATATAAATCCACTTTTTAAGTATAAGTTAAAACACTCTCTTAAAACAATATTTTTAAAATTTAAGAGAAATGTTTTAATCAAGAATAATATGCTTCTCTACCCAATTGTTAAAGCTGAGGGAGTCGTTTGTAGTGTGTCGACAACATTTTTGTCGGGGCTACTTCATATTCTCATTCCACTTTAAAAAGATAAAAAAAATTCCACTTGCGAACGTTTTTAAGTGAAATTTGAGAGTTAGAGCTACGGACTACCTTGGCATGTAGGTTTGAAAAAACTTACACCACTTCTTGTAATCTGAATTGTTTTTCGAAAAGCGAAGCCCAACTGCGTTTGTCATGGCTGTTTGCCAAATTTCGTGCTGAAATCTGACTATTAATGCTATTTTCTGAGTGTATGACGGCTTTTGTGCTGGCCCGTGGCTAATTTGTGCGTGCGAGTGGGCTTCAGACTGGTTTGATGATCACTGAACTAGCAAAAGGTGTGGCAGGAATCGCATTAGGCTTCGAATTTAGAACCTTTATCAAAAATGGGCATTTGCATCGATGAGAAAATATACCTTTTTTTCTGCGGATTTTTATCGCAATCAGAAAAGGAAGAAAACTGTCAAGTTTTGCTGTAACTGTCAAATCGAACGCCCTTGTCATTGTTGGGGGGCATATCGGGTGGCACTCTATTCCATATATTTCGCAAGTATGCCTTCTCATGAATTGCCTGAATGGATGTCTGACTGACTGATGGGAGGACTGCCTGCCCGCCTTCCTGCCTGCCTGGTTGTCTTGAAGCCTTGACACTCTTCATTTGTGAATGCGTTAATTGCGCAAGCAAGGCAAAAGACACACAAGACATACTTGGCTGTGCTGTGCATACACACACACACAAACACACACACACATAGACACATACAGCAGCTACATGCATTCATAGAATACACACATCATGGCTTGTATGAGTGCTTGTAATGACGTTTTGTCGCCTGTCAGCCCGCCCCTGCTGATG